CTCTGCTCCCCAGCACGCAGCTGAATGAGACCGGCGCCGGAATATGACGTCATATTCCGGCGCCAGTCTCATTCAGCAGCGCGCGAGGGCGGGAGGGCACTAACACAGGAAGCACCTCTAGTGACCGTCTGAGTGACTGTCACTAGCAGTGTCACTTTGAAGCAATGTAAACACTGCCTTTTGTCTGAAAAGTCAGTGTTTGCGTTGAAAAGCCTGTAGGGACATGCTATAGACACTAGTACCACCACATTAAGCTGTGTGTGTGCGTCTGCTAGTGAGTGAGCTTGTGTTTTTATGTCAATGAGCTGATGTATATCAGTAAAATTGTTTGTCTATGAGGCTGTGTATCAATGAGCTTGTGTGTGTCACTGAAATGTCAGTGAAATTGCCTGTGTCTGCATGTGCGTATGCTTACTGTATAATTAAACATTTTACCCTGAAAGGACCAATATTTTATATTAGAAAAAGCAACATATATATATATATATATATATATGTATATATATATATATTTGTGTAAGGGGCAAAATAGCCGTATATGGAGTAAGGATCCAGCATAAGCTTAGGATAGTGTAAAGGGAGCAAGTCGGTTGTGGTGTGCCGATACCGACGATACGGTAGGCCTGTAAATAAAGAGGGCCACCAAGGAGTAAGAAAGTAAAGTAAATGGAAAGAAAAGAGAAAGTGTTGAAATGAGGAGTGGGTGGGAGGGTCATTCTGATGCTGACCTCAAGCGATATGAGTCAGGTAAGGGGTGTCCCTTATATAGGGGAGTGAATTAATTTAAGCCCCTCCCACAAATACAGGCAAAACTGCCTTAATACTTGTGTAAGGGGCAAAATAGCCGTATATGGAGTAAGGATCCAGCATAAGCTTAGGATAGTGTAAAGGGAGCAAGTCGGTTGTGGTGTGCCGATACCGACGATACGGTAGGCCTGTAAATAAAGAGGGCAAAATGAATAATCAAAGATTTAATACAGTCAACAAATATATACAAATTAACCAGACATTTCCTTAAATGCATTACAGTCTTTAATTCCTGAAAGGATTTTGAAGGTAGGAATCTAGGACCGAAAGTGGGCACCATTTGTTGTAGGTAGGATAGTATGTTATCTCTACTGTTGGTGCATGTTGACTCATTTCGGAATGTGGTAGAGCCAATAGGTAATGATATATGTGTTTACGTACGTGGGATCGTTGAAGACCATGATCTGTCTGAGTGGTGGTGATGGTAGTGGATTCTCTGGCCTGAGAAAGGCATAAAAGGCAATGTGCATGGCTGGTAATGGCCGACTTGGTAGTATAATTGAATGGTTGTAGATCTAATAGGTCCGATAAGGATGAACAGTTGGATGGCTATTGGTAATCTCTGAGAGGAACGTGGGGGAATGGATTCCTGAAAACCTCTGAGTATATTCTTTTCTGGTATGATAGCATGAAGTTTATGGTAGTTTTGGCCATAGGTTATCATGTGTTGTTGAATGCCTGTAAAATATATAATTAATGGTGTATGAGATAGTTTAAGTTTAAGGTGGCAAAAATAAGCAAAACTTAGGAGAAATTTTGTGACACAGGTTGAGCTATGTCGTGTTCCAATGAGATTCTTTAAGCCAGGTGAAAAGCTGTGTTATGCGTTCTACAAGTATGGGACGAAAGTGCTAGGTGGGATAGTGCATGCTATGCTGCATGACTATGTCTAATCCATGATTTTGTCTCTGGAACGAAAGAGTGGACGTGACTGTATGGGCGGCTGTAGGAAGCGTATGATGAACATGCCTGGAATATAAATGAGACAGTTGTCGGCAGGGATGTATACCCCCGTCTGGTACATGAAAGTGAAATGTGATAAGTGGCCAACCAAGTGAGTTCCCCAGAAACATCATGAACTTATGGATGAGTAGTGGCGTTTGTTGATGATATGGTATGTGCTTAGTTGTCTGAGTAACAACAGATTGATGACCCTGACCATGATTTACCCCATGCCACAGCAGCTGCTACAATGGGGTAGATCTCCCAAAGGGGCTGAAGTGGTGGAAAAATTTCCAAACCTGGATGCCATGGCCAACAGCTCCAAAGCAATTGTTCCCGGTAGATCGCTGCCAAACCCGTGGTATACGCTGCGTCTGACCATCTGGTTGGAGAAGTGTCAGACAATCCTGGAAGGAACATGCTTTTACCATGCCAAGTGGTTAAGAAATCCCCCCCCCCCATGTGCAGGTCTGCTGTTGCTGAGGTGTCTAGGCACCTCCTCTGATCATCATGTTGGAAGTGTGGAAAAAAGGGGAAGTACTCTGGATGTGAAAGCATGGCAAAATTAAGGAACCTGGTAGGGATCGTAGTTCCTTGCAGTTGTAAGTACTAAGCAGGAGGTAGTGATTGATGTAGTTGAGAATGTTCCCTATTTGTCTTGTGGTAACTTGCGTGTATGGATGCCGACTCAAGTCATATGCCCAGTAATGTGAAGATAGTGTCTGGGCCTTCTGTTTCTTATGGGGTACTGGGACGCCCAAGTGGTCAACCAGACTAAGCTGCCGTGAGGCTTCTAGTGAAAAATATGCTTTCTTGATTAACAAGAAGTCTTCTAGATAGTGTATGACTGTAAGGCCTCTGGATATGTTATCATAACCAGCACAGAGTATCTGCGAATATCGATAGTAGGCTAATCTGTAGCTCGAAAGTTGAGCGGGGAAAGGATTGCCCAATTTAAGCCATGTAAGTGCCAGTGTGTAGGGTAGATGGTAGCCGTTTACTGCGTTGATGATATTGGTCTTACTTAATCAAGCTTCAACCCATGCTTGAGTGATAGCTGTAAAGGTAGATCAATGGTGTTGTATAGTAAGAAAAATCCTCGGAGGGTATGAGGGAGTTGAGACTTGGGGTAGCGGAGGTGTGTGTTACCAATAAGTCCATGGTTAGTCTTTGTTTAAGGGAAGATTCCTTGTGACAATACCAATGTGTGTGTTTGGTGCCATGCTGTAAATGGTGGAGATTGGAAGACCCCTCTGCAAATCTTGGCTATGAGGGTGTTTACAGCCAATTGTTTTGTTGTGCTGACTGTAAGTGAGGGCATGCTATATTCCTTGAAGGTGTGTTTATGATACCTGTATAGGAGCCCTTTGAATCTCCAGAGCTTTAGTAAATCTACTACAAGTCTGGAAGGGTGATGAGTCAGTAGTGTTGAAAATGCATTGGTGTGTACAGATGGTGAATACATTATTTGTAAGTTGTATTGGGACACATGGTTTGTCATGTGCCCTGAACTATTTGAACATATATGCAACAGTCTGTATGCAATGCAACTACTCATATCAGTGGTCTCTGGTAGTTCAGAGATGCTGGTACCTGGAGCCTGAGAGTGCTCGTCCATTTGTTTGGGACAAAATCCCTTCTGTATGGGTACCTGCACAAATAAACATCTCCACATATTCCAAATGCCAACCCAACCAAGGGATGGTCAGTTCCCGATTTACCTGGAATCCCTGGATCTGACCATCACAGATACATCATCATACATATATATGCCTTGCTTCCCCAATGTGCTGGGATCATACGTGCAGGTTTAACATCTTGTGTGTCATAAGAATTGATTGTACCAGGTAACCGAGTTTCGGTTGGTGCTGGTTGTACAGTAGCGTGAGGCCCAGCCTTGTGAGGGCTGTGGTGACCAACTCGAGATTGCCAGTCTGTCATAAATTTTTTGGCTCAGCAGTTTATGAGTGAAGCTAGCATAGCCTGGGTGTCACCTGAGTTGATGTAGCTGGGCCTTCCCCTGCCTCCGTGTTGTCCGTTGATGTATGGAGGAGTTTGAATAACTGCTTTCCTTGCTGTAGCAGGGTAGGGGATTTGTCACCTCCTTAGGTCGGTGGTAATGTGTGGGATCGTCCAGGATCTGATTGCTGCTGGACTAGCAACATCTCCTCTGCTTGAAGGTGTATCAATTCTAGCCGGGGTGCTAGGAAGAGGTGATTCTTCACCATCTTTTTGAGAAATACTTAAATAACAATAAAGATTGCAATTATTATTTGTACCCAGGGTTCTTGTACTGGCTTGCTAGCTAAGCCGTAAGGCGAAACGATTAGACTTGGTGTTTTTTGGTGACTGGTGAGGCCCTGCTAGTTGCCAAGTGGCTTGAGAGGCTCTATCTATGCTTGGCGCGAGGGGATTTTGTGTGGCCACCGAACGTTGTGGCAGGATGTTGGCCTCTCGGTGACAGTAACCAGAAAATAGGAAGGGGAGTGACAGGTGAGGTCCTCTCTATGATACAATGCGAGGCGGCTAGCTCACGAGTGGCCCGAGGGGTGTATGCCTCCGAGTGTGAGGCGGGGTGTTGGCCTCGCGGGACCACTAACCGAAGCATAATGCAGAGAAAAAAGGGGGTAATACCTATTGGGCCCTAGAACCCTAATTGCCAGTACACTATTACTATTCCAGGGAAGGTAAGAGATGGATAACTACGTGAGCAGGTGTATGTACCTGGTAGTATGGTATTGAACCTGACAATCCGTATAGGTTTTTTAGTAGTAACTGTAACCTGAATGGATAAAACCGTATGGCATAAGGAAATATGGCATAGACCAAGCTTATCTTAATACGTACAGTATATGTGAAAAGTAAAGTGACGTAATGTGTAAATATTAAACATCGTAGCCATACTGGTTAAATATGTATCAATCTTAACCCATTAAGTGCCGTATGTACAAGTGAAAATGTGGTCTGTCCCCACCTTGTATGTTGTATGTTGTATGTTGTATGTTGTAAGTCTGTTGCGGGAGCAGCGTGCTGTGAAAAATGTATGTGAACTATATTACCAGTTACATATATACAGATGCGTCTGCTACTGTGTAATAATATATGTATTTATACCAGATGTTGACATAGTGCTTGCTATGTGAATTGTTGTATGTCTTATTGAATGGTAGGGGTCAGTGAACATGGTGTTGCAAAATGCAAGTGCACTGGAGATCTGCCGAGTGCCCTATAGGTGGCAGTGTAGTTGGATACTGATTGGTATGTGAAATGTTGTTTGTCTGTTGACCTATAGGTGTCAGTGTTTTGGTGTTTGTAAAACCCCATGAAAATTGTCAATGTACTTGACAGACCTGTAGGTGGCAGTGTTGATAGAACCACTGTTGGTCTTGATGTGAAATGTAAATTATTGTGAATTAAACCTGAAGTTGAGCCCGTGCTGGAGTTTAATTTATGGTCTATAGTTATGTTTAAAACAATCTTATGTGTAATTTATATTGGCTGGTAAATTGTATATGACATGTGAAGACAGTTTTGCTGTTGACCAGTAGGGGTCAGAAATGCTGATTGTATGTTAAAATACCCTTTAACCTCTTAAGGACCAAACTTCTGGAATAAAAGGGGATCATTACACGTCACACATGTCATGTGTCCTTAAGGGGTTAATTTCATGTGTCCATTTGACAGATAGGAGTCAGTATAAAAGCGAAAATGCTGTAGTTCGTTTGTTTGCTTATGAAGTGGAATAAAATCTGAGAAGCCTGTAGTATACTGATTGACCGGTAGGGGTCAGTATGTAGGCGAAAATGCCGTGGTTAGTTGGTTTGTACATGAAATGCAATAATGTCTGAGAAGCCAGTAGTACACTGAATGACCTGTAGGGGTCAGTGTGTAGGCGCAAATGCAGTGGTTCGTTGGTTTGTACATGAAATGCAATAATGTCTGAGAAGCCTGTAGTACACTGAATGACTGGTAAGGGTCAGTGTGTAGGTGAAAATGCAGTGGTTTATGGTTTTGTACATGAAAAGCAAAAACGTCTAAGAAGCCTGTAGTACACCGAATGACTGATAGGGGTCAGTGTGTAGGCGCAAATGCAGTGGTTCGTTGATTTGTACATGAAATGCGATAATATCTAAGAAGCCTGTAGTACACTAAATGACCAGTAGGGGTCAGTGTGTAGGCGCAAATGCAGTGATTCGTTGATTTGTACATGAAATGCAATAATGTCTGAGAAGCCTGTAGTACACCAAATGACCAGCAGGGGTCAGTGTGTAGGTGCAAATGCAGTGATTCGTTTATTTGTACATGAAATGCGATAATGTCTAAGAAGCCTGTAATACACCAAAAACCGGTAGGGGTCAGTGTGTAGGTGAAAATGAGGTGGTTTATTGGTTTGTACATGAAAATGCAAAAAACGTCTAAGATGCCTGTAGTACACCGAATGACCGATAGGGGTCAGTGTGTAGGTGAAAATGCGGTGTTTGGTTGGTTTTTACATGAAATGCAATAATGTCTGAGAAGCCTGTAGTACACCGAATGACCGGTAGGGGTCAGTGTGTAGGCGAAAATGCAGTGGTTCGTTGGTTTGTACATGAAATGCAATAATGTCTAAGAAGCCTGTAGTACACCCAAAGACCGGTAGGGGGTTTAAACGAATGATATGCATGAACATGCAATGGTTTTAAAACAGACATAGACAAAATGCAGCAGTAAAGTGAGGACCTGACCCGTGCATGGTGCCGTGGGACTGATGCCTGGCGTAACGGGTAGGTCGACTTACTGTTTGTGAGTCACTTGGACACCATCCACAGCGATAGATTGAAGAAAGAAGGTGGTAGGCCGGAAAAGCCTGTGGCTGGATTCCTGACACAGCTCTGCTTAGAAAACCTCATGGAGTAATCAGGTAAAATGGCGTCTGGATGACCCGGAAGTGGAAATCATTCTGATGCTGACCTCAAGCGATATGAGTCAGGTAAGGGGTGTCCCTTATATAGGGGAGTGAATTAATTTAAGCCCCTCCCACAAATACAGGCAAAACTGCCTTAATACATATATATATATATATATTACTCAATCATCTGTCCTGGCAAGACATAGCCTTACATCTTACACGCGACAATATATGGCGCAGTGACTTATGGGGCTGGCACAAATTTTTTTTTCCAGGGCTGCTTTGTATCCCCAGTCCGGCCCTGCTTATAAGTTGATACTTTGTACCTTACTCTGCTCTGTTCAAAAATCGACACACTGTACCGATGCTAAAAGTCAAAATAAAGATTGTCAAAAAAAAAAAAGAATGAATTACAATATGTCAAATTCCCACTGGGAGTGTCTATAAGTCAATGTGAAAAAGTGCTATTGCCATATTAGGTTGTATTGTTATAAATAGTACGAGATAGTACTGTGTATCCAGGTGCTTAAGCAAGGGTGGAAAAAATATGTGCAGCTACCACCAGTGTGTAATCCTCTCACAGCTTAACACAAGGGTATTGTTATACTTGCCAATATAGATATTAATGTAAACATTTTGTTCCAAGACTTCTCAATCTGTTTACACTTCCACCAAATCTGTTTGAAAGAACCCCGTTCTTCTGAATATCTCCAGCATTTATCATTACTCCCATTTAGATACGACCAAAATAATAGCTTATAAAAAAACTTCCAATAAATGTATATTATGTATGGCTGATTTTGTCAATTTTAGTTGCTGTAAACCACTTATTTTCCTCAAAATTTAACTGACACTCTTCCCCCCATCTTTTTATTGGCTCCAGCGAGGTGAAATTATCTTGTCTTTTAGCTCCCCATATTAACTGCAGAGCAAACATTATACCCCTGTATTTCCATTATTTTAGTTTAATGTTCCCAGTTAGGGTTTCCAATATTTTGATTGGGATTTAAATATTCAAATTGAAAGTGGAGAGCTATTTATATCAGATTTTTTCACAGCAATATATTTTTATTTACGTTAAAGGGATTGATCTAAATAAGGTGAGCTTGGGCAGGATATAATATTTAATAGTGTTTATTCTGCCTGTCCAAGGATTTTTTTAACTTTTTCCGTTCATTCAATTTGTTTTTAAATTTGTTTAGAATTGCTTGATAATTTGATTCCATTATTTTTTTATTTTTTTTTAAGAATTCTTGATACACAGGTAGCCCATCGAATCCTCCACCCATTGAAACTTATAAAGACTCTGAAGATTCTCTCTATCTGCTAAATTGATGTTTAGTGTCATTGCCTGGCATTTACCTATATTAAATTTGTAGAAGGAGATGTCCAAAAATTCTTGGATTTCCATCATCAGGGCCTTTACTGATGTAACCGGATCTACCAAAATGAGAAGGAGGTCCTCCGCAAATAATGATACCTAAAAACATCTATTACCTATTTCAGGACCCCTTATTTCATTATCATCTCTCACTTTCTGAGCAAAGTGTTCTAAGGAGAGGACATGAAGCATTGGGGCCAATGGACAGCCCTGCCTTGTACCGTTGAATACTTTAAACCAAGATTTTATGCCTGATCTTGAAATTCGTGCACTTTATATAGTACCCAAACAGCTTCTAGAAATTGATCCCACAATCCAAACTTTTTCAACATTTCTTCTAGGTAGATCAAGCTGACCCTGTCGAAAGCTTTTTCAGCATCTAACGAGTCGGTATAGATCCCCTTCAGGGCTGTGAGGATTCTTTGTTTATCAGCATACGACTGACAAAATAGTATGTCTCAGGTCCTGGCAGCTGGAGCTTGGGGAGACTTGGCTATGCGGTACACTATATCAAAGGAGAATTGTTTGGCTGATCTTAACAGAAAGGCGATCAGGCGTGTGATGAGATGTGGAAGTTCCTCGGGGGTGCAGTGTGTCAGTGACTCCACGTATCTTAATGTTTCTGTTCCTGCTTCTGTCCTCTAGTTGCTCCATTTGGCTTGCTAAGTAGGAGTAAGAGGAGCTGAGGTGTTGGACAGTGTCCCCAAGGCTGTCCATGCCCTAGTTCAAGGTGTTTGTCTGCATCTGAGGTGTGAAGCCTGGCAGTTACTGTTTGGATCTCAGTTTTCACTGCTGTTATGTCTGTAGTAAACAGCTTCTGCATGTGGAGGAACAAGTTGAATATGTCCCTCTTTGTGGACGGAGCATCACTGTCTGCTGATAGCAGGGACACCAGATCTGGGATATTTTTCTTAGGTGGAGTGAGTGTGGCATCAGGCTGTGAGCGCGCCATTTCTTTTGTGCACAGTACTGAAGTAAGCATTTGCCCGATGTCCTGGTTGTCTCTGGCTGTTGGCTGGCTTAGTCTTGGATTTTTGCGACCCATTGTTTCATTAAGAGGTTCACCGATTAGGCTCTTGGTGAAAAAGTCAATAGCTGCTGTCTCTTGTCAGCCGCGGGTGTCCTGTGTGGTAGGCCCGAGATCCTCTGCGCTGGGTTCTGGTTGTCGCTGGGAACAAAAAGGGCATCTGCGGACCCTGAGAAGTCTTCCGAGCATGGATCTGCAGTGTGTGGGCTGAAATTGTGAGTATTTCCCACTATAAAGGTGGGTATTGTCGTTTCTTTGCTCAGAGCAGCTCGAAATGGCATCCGTTCAGTGTGCTGCTTGGCTCCGCCCCTGCTCTATTATTTTTTTTTTATTCAAAGTTTTATCTTTCCCTGGTTTTAGGATTGGAGAAATATTTGTGGCTAACATTTAACTTAGCATCTTTTTCTTTTCTATCATCTCCTCAAACCCATTTGAAAACCCATCTGGACCTGGGGCCTTGTTTATTTCCAGTTTTTGGATAACACTATGAATTTCTTGCTCCGTTAGATGAGCATTTAAATTGTTCACATCTTCATCCTTGATCTTTGGTAGATTAATTTTGTTTAAATACTTGTTAACCTTTGATCTATATTCAGATGAGTTATGCGTTGATTCACTACCCAGATGGTATAGCACTTCATAAAATTTTGAAAATGATTCACCAATTTTAGTTTGATTTAAGATATCTTCTCCTTTATCTATTATTTTATTAATAATATTTTTTTTTTGAGCTTTTAGTTTCTTCGATAAAAGTTTATTAGCCTTACTTCCTTGTATGTACCAGGTTTGTTTTAATTTG